CCCAGGTGTGCAAAAGGGGGATGTTTTGTGCCTGAGACTCTCAGAATTACCTATCAAGGGTTGTGGGAGTCAGTCAAGGTTTGGCTCTTTTAAATTAGCCTTGCATGAAATTATTACAAACCTAACAATTAAAAAGGGCAAGGTACCCAGATTTTGGGAGGTGAATTCATTTGATCTTCTTAATGTCACAGCTAACTGAGTAAAATGATTGTCCACATATCTCTAAAGACAGTGTGGTACAAATGCTCAAGTGATGTAAATGACTTCTTCATTGGCTTCAATTACATCAACTAACTATGTGTAAATAGCATCTGAGTGGGTTTTTTGGCATATATATATTCTAGTGAGTCAAATTAACAAATAATAGTGCAAAACAGCACACCTTTGAGTTCATCCATATATTGGCTTAATAATGAAATTATATTTTTAATGATGTTGAGTTCTTTTTTTATTTGCTTCTTGGTATTTATTTTTTATCACTTTTTAAATCGTTTCTTTAAAAGGGCTAGAAACCTACAACTAACAATGTGTAAGTCAAATGTTTCCTTATTGTAAAAAAATATTATAAGCCATTGGGCCAATTTCTGAACTCATTACATTGGTCTTGCACTATTTTAGCTTTGCTGATTCCATTAGTTACTCCTGATTTGTGGAAGTATGAGGTCAGATTTGGGGCCAGTGTGTGTCTGAAGGAAATCATATTGATGAAATAGTGGTATAATTTGTACTCATTATGAGAACCCTCAGCATCATGGTCTCAGTTCCATAAAAATCAAGATTTCTCTCTATTTTGATAGCTTTCAGCAGAACAGAACCTGGCCCTGAATCCTTATTCTGACAAAACTGCCATTGGTTTTTTTCATTAGCTTTCTTTTTGATTGTTGCTCTTCCTCTGAAAGCTCCATACTTTGATTTTTATTCCAATGAAATTCTCAATCACCGGAAGTTCACCTGTGAAAGGAATGAGTTAAAATGGATGAATGCTTCATTACATCACCAAGAAGGGTGATAGTCGTGATAAAGAACTCAAATGAACATGTGAAGCAGTCAGTCCCTCTTCGAGAGTGTTCTGATATGAAGAAGGTATTACTATAGTAATCTGATCCATGCTAATTGTTAAAGCCCAATCCTATTAAGAGGAACTTCTTTTGACTTCAGCTCAGCACTTCTCAGAGAACCTAAAACAGAATGGAAGGAAAAAACATCGGTGGTGAGGGGAAGAGGGACAGAGGGACGGGATGGTATTTCAAATAGTGGTCAGCAAACTCCTACTTATATTCTGGAGTATTTTTCCACCCTCCATATTTTCTCTGACTCTCACCCTGTAACATAAGACCTAAAATGTCACATCCTTGGTACTGCCAACCCCATGTCTACAAAAATCATGAGACAGGTTCCCCAAATAATGAAATTTGCTTAATAATGAAAAGATTTAAAAACAATTTTTTTGAGTTCTTTTTATTTGCCTCCTGGTGTTAATCTCTGAGATTCACTTTTTAAAAAATTTTCTTTAAAAGGACTGGAAACCTAGTTAAAAATAAAGTTGAGATTCTCACATAATCATCTTGCTATTGAGGATGGAGCTTTAAAAAAACAAATATCAACAGACTTGCAATAGAATTAGGAGTTGGCAAAAGTCTATTGATCTCAGAGTTTTATACTACCATACATCATATTATCTGAGATCCTTGCATGTAAAATCAATAGCATTAGCAAAGTCTCTAGCAGACTTCATAGATTCTCTGCAAATTTTCTTTTTATGGGGTCAGACTTTTGCTTGAGGTAGTTTTTTTTTTTGAGAAGGCTTAGAGGAGTTTGGGAATAAAAACATTATTTAGGCTGTGAGCATTTTTATGGTAGTAAATGCTTTCTCAAACAGGAAGGTTTTGCAACATTTTGTAAAGATAAATTCTAGATTTACCCGATCTTCTGTGGAAAACTGTTCAAGAGCTAAACTTCCTTGATCAAGAATAATTTGTCTTCAGCTTTCACATGCCCCATCCTGGACTTGGAGATCTACAGTATTCCACAGGAGCACAGCTGTTTGAGGGTTCACAGATCAATATTCAAGCTGTGATGTGCTTTGGCTTTGATACGGTAATTGTTTTGGGAAATAGGATCATGATCTTAAACTGGGATTGGACGCTGACTGGGAATGAGAAGAGGGACTTCACTATGGGCCTTATTTGTTCATAGGGGTCTGAGCCATAGAGTAGGTGGGTAACCTCATTCTGTACCAGCTGCAGCCTGTGCATCCTCCTAATGTTCAGCTTCAGAAAAAGCAAATTGCAGTAATCTAGCCCTGAGTTGACAAATGCATGGTTCATCGTAGCCAGGTCCTCATCTGGGAGGAAGGGATGAAATTTCCTGGCAAGCTGGAGGTGAAAGGAAGTATTTTAGAAAACTGATGCTACCTGATCATCCAAGTTTCGTGAGGAGCCAAACAAGACCCTAAGGCTTCACACCACTTTGATGAATACGGCTATGTGGCTTAGATGGAAGGTGGAGACAGAGTTTTGGCCAGATCTTCAAAGTGTTTTCCCTTTCTGACCTGTATCACTTAGCCTTGCCTGGGTTTAGTTTGAGCCAGCTGCTTTCCATCCAAGAGCAAATTTCCTGTCGGCATTTTGCCATTTTACTAGTAGCAGTGGCCCCATCAAGTTCGGAATCAGATGTAGAGTTGAGTGTCATCAGCATCACTGAATTTTTTTTCTTAATACTTCATTCCAGTGCCTTTCTTAGTTAAAATAAAATAGTGAAACAAATGGTGTTTGGACAGTTGCATGGTTCTACACTGTCTTTTGGTCCTTAATAAAAGGAATAATTTATTTTTTCAAAACCGTATAACTCAACATTATTGTGTCTAATTCTTGAACCAAGATAAGGTATGCTTGCCACAGGCCCCCAGGAGGTGACTTGTAGGAACATGGATGTATGTGGCTTTTATACCCTTCCTCTCCCAACAGCCTTCCCTAAGAGACAGGGAATCAGGGCGACCACTCTGGCCCCCACACTTTTGAGGGGCCCTTCAGGCTGCTGTAGTTTATCACTTCTACCCAGGCCCTGCTCCCCCTTTGAGACGGCTCTGTCTCTCCCTATTCTGGTCCAACTGGGGGCTGGTTCAGTGCCATGGCTACTGAGCTACTTTTAGCACTCTGGCTACACACTGTAGGATGGAGTCCAGAAAGCAGTTTTCATTCAGCTTTATTGCACCTTAGTACTACTGGGCAGCACAAGAAGTCATATTAGACCAAACAGTGGGGTGTGTTCTCTTTGTTACACATTACTGCCGTGTAACATTTTATACAAACTATATCTCAGAGTTCTTCATAGAATTATATCCTAAAAAGTGGGCCAAATCCTGGTTTTGGTGAGGGGATGGAAACCTTGCAATTGACTTCAATAAGATAAGTATTTGATACCCCTCCCCTGACTGCCCCACATAAGCCAGCTGTTCCTAAATCCTGTAATTAGAGTGCTGCTAAGCAGCTGACGTCAAGTGAAAGTCTTCTAAGGGATTTGATTTTTTTTTCTGCAGTGTTTTATAATGTGACACTTCCAAGAATTAGTTGGATCATTGATAGTAACTGTTGGACCTAGAATTGGAAACTTCTGCATATAACTTTTGCATTTTCTCAGTTCTTTTAGTTAATGGCTATTGGATCTAACAACCAGCTCCAGAGCAGAAGCATAATCCATAAATCACCTTAATAGAAAAGCTGCACAATACAAATAAAGTTGGGGTCTGAATTTCTCAGTGATGGGGCAACTTTGAAAAGTTATGGAGTAATGACGGTCACTTCTCTTCTATGGCAGTTACAGTTTTTGATACCATAAAAATGAGATGTACATAAAAACTAACATTATTGTTACAGGTTTTGTATGTATCTCTTTCAAATGCAACTAGATATAACACTTCCTCAGCTTTTCTGTCCTGAGCATTCTTTTTAGATCAGATTCTGATCTCAGTTATACCTAGCTAAATCAGTAGTAAATCCCTTGGAATCAATTATATTTGGTCAGAATTACTGTGGTATAACTGATATGAGAATCTGGCTCTATCCTAGTCCTTGATTTTATAAGAACTGGATGATAGTGTATGCTGCAATGAATGGGCTTGTGAGTCAGCTGATCAGAGTGTAGACTGAGCATAACTGCCAGTATTAAGAATGTTATGATCCTGAAAACTCACATGCATCATTACCACTGTTCCTAAGGAGTTTCTTAATGTACATGTACACTGCATGGCTATTTTGGGATACCAGAGGTATCCCGAAATAGCTACCAAGTGTCTACACAATTTTGAAATGTTTTTCAAAATAACAGGCACGCTGTTTAAGCATCCCGGTAACCCTCGTTCCACAAGGGTTAAGGGATGCCTTGAAATAACATGTTATTTCGAAATTTGGTGCTATGTAGACGCACCAAATTTCAAAATAAGCTATTTTGAAATAGATTCGAAATAAGATACTCAATTTGCATAGTGCACATTGAGTATCTTATTTCGAGTTCTGGGTGCTGTATAGACGCACCTTTACTTATTAATGAACGATGTGAACACAGTATTTTCAAAAACTGTTTTGTTGCCTTTTTAAATGGGCAGAAACTGGATCCCAAGCAAGCCATCCCAAAGTCGGATGAAGTTCAGATCCAAATCTGGATTCCTTTTCAACAGCCAATTTCTTACTCTATTAACTGAACCAAAACACTGGATTCTAACCTTCCAAACTTGGGGAAAGTTCTAGGACTGATCCAGATCCAAACTTGGTACTTTTAAAGTTCTGCCTAACACTAACACTTCAGGCTAACACTTTTGTGACACATAGATTGCACTATTTATTTATCTTTGGCTGTAATTCTTTAGGAAGCAAGCAAGAGGGGCCCAATATTCTATATCTATGCTGCACCTGCATGATGTAATTTCATGTTCCCTAGATACAAATACTGCCCTTCCAAATATTGTATACCTAGCATGAGGATTTTTTGTTTTCATTTTTTAGACCCTGCCAGTGCGGAAGATTCCATGTAAAGCCAATGCTCCGTCAGGGTCTTTTTTTGCACGAGACAACACAGCAAATTTCTTATCCTGGTGCAGAGATGTGGGCGTGGATGACACATGCCTATTTGAATCAGAAGGCTTGGGTACGTACTTGCTTATATGGTAATCAAGAATTTTAAAAGAAGTTTTGCTTTTATATTGCCTGCTGGAAGGTTAGCTGTGCTCCCACTGATTTTAATGGGAGTTGGATTACACCGATAAGGCAAAAGCACTGTGGGTTAAAAAGTGAATTGGCTACTGAATATCTTTTCAGTTCAGGTGGACATTTTGCAAATGGCTTACTTTCATACGTGCCTTGTCACTTATGTTAGAAGTAGAATGTGATCTACTAAAGCAAGCTAAATGGCATTTCAAATTACTATAATCATTTTAAACAAGCAGATGACTAGGAACTAAAATACCAGCATGATGGTTTTAAAACTTGGAAATTAAGTTGTTTAATATATTGCATTTACAACCAGTGGCCCTTTAATCAATCAAAATTCCTGTTTATTTCACTGCAGTTCAGTTTGGATTAGAACTGTGCAGCCAGGAGCCGCACGAGACATTCTAGTGCCCTTTACAGCTACTATCCAATGGTGAAGAGAGAACTTTTAAAATGGCAGCCTCCGTCGGTGATATCCTGGCTGGGTCACCGCTGCCCAGAGCTTTTTATCTCACCACTTACTGCTAACCTGATGGTGTGCTTGCAGGCAGTGAGGAGAGGCATCTGGACACACTTATATTTATAGGAGCACGCAGTGGAGATGTTCAAAATTAGTCATATGTTAATATCTACATAGGTAAGACCATGCCATTTTTAGATACATAAGTCATAAGGCCAAATTACATAAACAACTAAGAACAGCCATACTGGGTCAAACCAAAAGTCTATCTAGCCCAGTGTCCTGTCTTCTGACAGTGGCCAATGCTAGGTGCCCCAAAGGGAATGAACAGAACAGGGTAATCAAGTGATCCTGGAAAACAAGCTAGGGACAGCATCCCTGCACATTCTGGCGAATAGCCATTGAAATTCCTCCCTTGTTGTTAACATAAATTTTTTAAAAATCTGTTTTTGGATTAAAAGTTTATCATTGGTCTGAAAATTTAATGAACCATTAATTAAATAAGCATGGGCAACATCCATCTCAGCTTTTACACTGTTTGCAACCTGCAGTAAAGAAAACCTGAATTTCATCTTATAGAAGTATTAGTAGTCCTAATAATAGTGTTACGATAAAACTAAAAAGAGCAGCTGGGACAGAAATTAGGAGCAAAAAGATAGCCCCTGAGTCTGCATTCAATGCCCCCTTTAGGGAATGGGTACAAGACCTGAGCACCACTTAAATCCCAGACTTTGTACTGGCTCCTTACATCCTTGTACATTTTTTTAAATTGTACAAATCCCTTCTATTAAGATGGACTAGAATTCTTGTTCCTTAATTCATCAAATAAAGATGATTTTTTTTGTCTCTGGAGGATAGGATCCAACTGTGCTCACAGTTTTGGCTACAGAAATTCACCATTATAACACAGATTTAGTGGGCATCTCAGAAAGGGAGAGAATATGAAATTCTTATCCTTGTCCCACACTAACTTGTTTTCAGCTGATTCCTCTGCACAGTTGATGAGGAGAGTGATATCCAACACTCATGCCTGCAGCTGTTCCACTACAAGAACGGATTATTTCAGCTAAATCATCATCCTAATAATGCTTCATACCTATTACTCTTCTCTTTTAAAAGAAAATGTAGGACAACTTGTTGCCTCAAGATTGCATTTCAGGAGAAAACACAGAATGAGGAGAATCAATTGTTTGCTTGTGATCTGAACTGGGATAAAAGCCCAAAGCTGTTTTGGTGAGACTAATCTGTTTGTACTGAGGATAAATGAACACACTGTACTGCATCAAGAGGCTTCTGTATTCAGTTGCTCAAAAGGTCTTTTACTGTATAAGTAAAGTCCTTATCTCTGTTGCAACTGATCTGTTCCCCTTCTGTTCTACTGTTGTGCTTTTTGAACACTATTATTTGTGAAAGGATCTTGCTTCACTTGTCACTTGATCTGTTCTATTCTCATCCCTGTTTTGTTTAATAAACAAAACTGGTATGTATCCCCGAGGAGAAAATGTTTGGCAGAGAGGAATTTAGCATGTGTTGATAAAGACCAGTTTTGAGAATATTGCTTTGAACATATGTGGATTGTTCATTTTATGTAGGTTAATTGTATTTTTCATCCCTCTTCTATGAAAAAATCACATGGAAGGCAAACAAAATGATCACACTCCCAATGCTCTGAAGCTGTGGGAAATGTGAGGCAAAAGGGTTTTGCAAATATAAGGGGGAAGCAAATATAAGAGGAATGGACCTCTAAATATATGGATATTGTGAGATCAGCAGCTGGATCTGTGGCTAATCTGGTATCTGTGTGAAAAGATGGTGCTTCCCCTATAGCTCCAGACTCAGTACTGCCACTGGCTGGCTGCTGTACCCCTTCCAATTCTACTGAAATATAAGTTGCTGAAAACAATTGGAATAAGACATTTCAATAAAACTTTGTACGAGAGACATTCCTTATTGGACAACTTCCTCTACTGAAAATTAAGCTAGCAAGGCACAGTTTGGCAAGCACAATTCAGCTCATGCTTTATGAGAAGTTGGTTAAGCCGCTGATTTTTGTTCACTGGTTAAGTGATTAGTTAAAATGGGGTTTCCTGTTTTGGTGGATTTTTTTCTTTTTCTGAGTATTAATGTGTACAAGATAGAACTCGTGGAAAAACTGATTAGTGACTGAGAGTTAGTCTACACAGTAACATTATTTTGAAATAACTAGCGGTATTTCAAAATAATTTAGTCCGCGCCTACACAGCAGGAAGTTATTTTCAAATAATGTTAAAATACTGTCAAGCTGGAGGACTTCTTACTCCAACACCTGTAACCCTCATTGTACAAGAAGTAAGGGAAGTCAGAGGAAGAGTTCTCTATTTCGAAATAAGTGCTGTGTCCACACTCCCTATTTCAAAATAAGCTACGCAATTGACATAACTCAAAATAAGCTAGGTAAATTGAGCTAAGTCCTTCTGTGTAGTCGCACCCTTAGTGACAGATGTAGACTCTGAAACTAATTTGAATTCTTTTTTCTGAAACTGACTACATCACAGATTGATGGTGTCCATTTAATTATAGAGCTTCAAGCAATGAGAATCAGCAAGTCTTTCATTTTACCTGCTTTTTTTTTTGCTTGAATTCTTAGCACAATAGGATCTTTATCCTGAAGAGGGCCTTTGAGTGCCAATGCAATGGAAATAACAAATGCGGTTATAGACCTTTACATTCATCTACCCTCTCCCTTCCCCCAAAAAAACCTATTTTCCCTCTGGACAGCAAATAAAAATTCAGTGAAGCTAAGAAATATAAAAGTTCCATTCAAAGGTGATGAGATAAATCTGCACATGACATACTGGTGTTTGCATTGCTTCATGAAAGACCTTTGTATCTTTGAGACTATACGGCTCTGGTGATGAGGTAGTTACTAAGGTAACTGCTGTTTTTTGTAATACACCAAACGTGTGTAAAACTTGTATAAATTGTCAGCGGTACAGAAAATGGTTGCTTATCTAGGTTCCATGGTCTTTAGTCTACCTGATTTTGTGCCCTTCTCTCTTCTTTGATGTCTTTCTTGTCAGCCTATGGTAAATAAAAATGGCTTTAATGAATTTAGAACCTATATTTAGAATATTTCCCTGTCCTCATTATTCTGTTTGAAATCCAAGTTCTTGCTCTAATTTTCTGTTTTTACTGAGTCTGATTTTATGAGGATAATTTTTGATAATGCTTTTTTAAATTGGTGAAAATGTTAGAGTAATTTATGATGAAATAATGGCATAATGCCTGAGTAGGATAATTTTTGATAATGCTTTTTTTAAATTGGTGAAAATGTTTGAGTAATTGATGATGAAATAATGGCATAATGCCTGAGTTCTTTGTAGGAGGGTGTTAAACTGGGAACATATTTGATAAATAATGGAAGTAATAATATTTAATATACATTGTTTTACTATTAATTTTATTAAATTTGTATCCTATTTCTTGAGGGAGGCAACATCATGTAATAAATCAGAGAAATAATAAGGGGCCCAAATATCCCTGTGCATCAAAAACTCCTATTCTGATTTGTTACTTAGATCACAATTGCTCATAGATATCCCCCTCAGAACTGGGCACTGTATAAACACAGAAGCAGATATAATCCAAGAGCTACATACTCTTTGGCTGTGTCTACATTGGCATCCCTTTCCGGAAAAGGGATGCTAATGAGACACATCGCAATTGCAAATCCGCAGGGGATTTAAATATCCCCTGCGGCATTTGCATTTACATGGCTGCCGCTTTTTTCCGGCTTGGGGATAAGCCAGAGAAAAGCACCAGTCTAGACGTGATTCTCCGGAAAATAAACCCTTTTCCGGAGGATTTCTTATTCCTACTTTTCCGGAAAGGGATGCCATTGTAGACACAGCCTTGATGTTAATGGGTGTTTTGTGTGTTATGGAGGTTTCAGTTCCTCAAGGTTCTGAGCACTCTGGGCCTGACCCAACAAGATATTTAAGCAAATGAATAGTCTGCCCCGATGTCATCCATTGTCTTTAGGTTCATGTGAGGGTCTGAATTTTTCCCTACCAGACTCTGCATTTGTCCATTGAGTAGAAATCTACTGAGGAATGTATCTGTAAAAAGAAAACAGTTGACTTTTAGGTTTTTTTTTCTCTGAAGATATACATCCAAATGGACTTACTACCTTTCTCCCATCAGACTTCTTGTACATTTTAAAGGCAGTAGAACTGCTCCTGTGCTTAAGGATAAGCACAAACTTAAAAGCTTTGTTGGCGCAAGCCCAGAGTGCTCAGCAGCTGTGGGACCAAGGTGCGAATGCAGTATCCTAGATAAGGAAGAAATAATATTTTTCCAGTTACAATTATCATGTCATCAAGTAACTTGATCTTACAAAGGTTCTTAAAGGGTATAAACCCTGAAGTATGTAAATAGTGTGTGTACACGCTGGATTTGATCCTGAGCACACTCATTCACACCAGTATGAGTCAGAGAAG